AACAATGACATGGTCTTCAATGTCTAAACCTATTGTTCAGATAAATGGTTTCAGAATTCAAAATGGGCAAGAAACAAGCATTGTCATTGTTTGTGATTCTTTTTCTTTGTGCCTGTGAATTATCCAGACCCAAAACATCTATGAAATTCAGACAATGGTGGTATACGATGAAAATTTAATGATTTTGCAACTGTTTGCTGGGAACTGAGAAATCCAATGAAGGCTAAAATGAACAAATGATTGATAATTTAAGGAGTATGTACCACAAAAAGAGATTTTTGTACAGTCAAACACACAAATATCAGAACAAGCTCATTTTCCATATTATGCTTTTTCAATCTTCAACAGGAATAAGACTTCACTCAGAACAGAACAAGGTTAAAAAGAAATCGCAGAAATATAATATCAAACTAATAAATCAAAACAACTTTGTTGACCAGTTTACAAAATCAATATGACTGAAAAATAAGAAAAGAAGAGGCAAGATGATTTTTTTCTCTCGCTACTCTTGGGGTTAAAAATGAAGGAAGTCCTACTGCACTGGAAACATGTGCAACTCAAATCAATCATGTCTAATCATTAGCAACAAATTCCATGCATAGCATTTTAATGTTTGAACAAGGGGAACAACTCATAATAGAATTACTTCCCTTTTTCTTTCCTACCCTGTATATCATTATTTTAGATAAGCTGTTTATGATTAAAAAAAACATCCTGCAGGTGTACTTTCTCTCAAACATGCCATCCATTCTCTGGCCCATACAGATACACAAGCACTTGGATAAAACAAGAATCTGGCAATCACTTAACATGTCAATGTGGTGATGACTTATGAATTCAAATACAGGAATTTACAAGAAGTACATTAAAATATTCATGAAATCATCGGACAATATAAAGTCAATGACTTTCAGATGAAATAAGAGACAGACAACAAGTTATGACATGTTTATCGGATACAATGTGAAACAGTCGTGTGTCTTTGTAATAGGATCCTTGGTCTTCAATTATATTGGTAACCTGTTTTGTATATTTCCAAAATAGTAATACCAGTAGATCATATATTTCATACCAAAACATTCTTGTCAAATAATATGACATATTACTACAGTACCAACAAATTTAGTAACCTTCAGTTCAAGCTATCTGGATTTGAAAATGCAGATAAAACATTTTAATGCTTAATGTAGAAAACTTGTAACAACGAAACATCAGTTACATTATGGTAAATACGTAATAACTTCTCGAGTATATATTTACATGATTTTTTTACTATAAAACTCGAACAAATTATTTAGCAATTTTAATTTCTGCTTAAAAATATGCCAATAAAAAAATAACAAGCAAATATCTTTTGCACCATTATCCAACAAAATGAGTACCTTAGTCTATCTGACCACTGGGAACTAAAATTGAACTGTATCGACAAATTGGTGACACGCTCAATTTTTAAACAATCCAGAAAATTTTCCTGAAACAAAAACCTGACTGTCAATAAATTGACGCAAATAATGAAGAGTAATTTATAACCGTAATCTGACAATCTGTATCAATCTGTATGCTACATACAACAGTTAACCTTTGTTATTATACTGATATTTTCTTGTCAAATCAAATTTTAAATTTATAAAATCTACCTCCACTTCTATTTCATCACTTACAATCAAATATTATCTGGAGTTCTCTCAAATTAAATAAGTAAGGTTTATAAAATGTAATTTCATTTTTTTTTGCTGAGTTCATCATGGCCAACACTTGCCAAAAAGCCCTAGGTAATGAATCACTTCTAAAATGAAAAACATTTGAATGAATTTATATCATTTCATACACAGACATAACAAATTGACGTCTTCTTAAGTTGGGTTGTTTGTAAACATCAAAATGTTTTGTTTTTTAGTTCTGGTGAAAAATTCAATTATTGATATCAAGCATATCATCTAACACTGTATTTATTGAATTTACAATGAAGAAATGTAACTTCAATGAAAACAATAATGGATTTTATACCTTGTTTCAATACCAACTATGACTAAATAGTTAAGCCTAACATAATCTTTCCTGAATGATGGTAATTGAGAGAAATCATGTTCGCATTGGTAAAAAAATAAGGGTAAAGACAATACTGAAAATGTCACCAAAATTATATTTTAATAAAATGATTAATTTTCAAATCTATCCTGTACAAGGCTGTGCAGCAGATGTATCTATACAGCTTTCCGCCTTCATTTATCTTTATAACTGTGAATGATAGTGTTTTCTCTCTAATATATATATTATTTGTAAATGACAGATTGAAACTGGTTGCTTCATACCGGTAATTTCAGTGTATGGTGCTTTATTGATTTTACCATGACAAATTATGCTTAAAATGCTACTAAATTGTAGGATTAAAAACTAAAAAGATTAATATAATGTTTTCAAACAACAGATTAAATCTAAATGCTTAAAAAGTTTTTCACTGGTGTATCTAAATATAACACCAACATTTTTTCTATGAGTTACCTCCCTCTACAGCTGCCTATCGTAACATGTTTCATTGTTTTGAAGCTATGTGTGTTGAAATGGACAAAGTGAAAAGATTTCAGGGATGGCATAAGAGCTTGAGATATCTTATTTTCACAACTTAATTTATTTATTTTTATATGAAAATGACTCAAAATAATCTGTGGTAAGTGTTTCATTATACAATTGCAAATCATCTATATTTCAAGATAAATATGTACCGTTTTTTGTATATAGCCAATCATGAATATACATTTCTTGTAAGTATTTAGTAAACAAATTGGAACATACGATGGTTACCTCTTAATATAATTTCTGATATGAATTAATTGCAATCAATTGAAACCCAATGAAGAGAAGTGTTCTAAAAAATAAGGAGATTGAATTTGAGGTATGCAGATGATCATGGAATTTTGGTGACCTCTTCAACAAACTACGTATTTTCTAACTGACATGACTATTCAAAACAATTCATACTGGTTTGTTCGTATATAAATAAAACGTAAAATGCTGCAATAAATTTTCTACAAAATGAGCAAGGGGGGTTGTAAGTACATTTATAGTGTAACTAATAATAGATCTTTTAAATACACGAATACATAATGATACACTCTGTTGTACACTTATAAAGACGAAGAATATCTAGGAGTATGATTAGTATACAGTAGCTGACATTTACTGAAGCACTTCCATTCTTTTATTGTAAAACAGGTAATTTATACTCCTTCCTATTTTCCTTTTTTTGCCCTTCAACAGAAGAAAAAGATCAACCCGGTAGGGTCAGAAATATGAAAAGTAGGATAACCTCAATATGAGGTTGAAATTGTTTTAAAATGTACAAATTAATTGCCAAAAGTAAAGTTTTAATTAACAGGGCAAATTCTGTATTAGGTTTCATGTAATTTGTACTGATAGAGGACCCAAAAGTTAAACAATAAGAGGGGTGAAATACGACACTTCACAGTAATGTAAAATCATAAATTTTCGTGGGACATTAAATTTCGTTTATTTCGTGGATAACAAAAATCCACGAAATTAAATCTCCACAAAAACATTAATTTGGTATGATATAGATAGGGGAAAATCAGAAATCAACGAAATATAATGTCCTTAAAACAGGCTAGTATATGAAATCAACGAAATTTTAACCCCACGAAAATAAACGATTCTACAGTAATTGTAAAATAAACCTCCGGTCAGTTGGAACCCATAGATTGCTATTTTATTCACAATAAAGCAATTTTCTAGAAAGTGATAGCTTGAACCATTCTAACTGCATTTTGTCTTCAAATTTCTTAATTTCCTTGATGTTACCCTACATTTCAGATAGCATGGTCACAGACAACAATCGACACAGAATCAACTAGGGCTATTGAACGTTGAAAGGAGAACTGTTTAGTTCCAATCTCCTGTTTTATGATTTTAGCCCTGTCTATGTACAGATGATGTGCACGTGTCTATGGTCCATTTCGCTTCCAGTTACATCATGCTGTTAGCATTTCATTACGATTACCTATTTTCATAATAAAGACTTAAAGTATCAGAGCATTTTCATTTTACGATATGGTGAACAATGTAAGCTGGCTCAAATACAACCTCTCAACTGGAACTATGCATATCAATCAGAATTAGTGTGAAGCATTCTCAAGTATTGATAATTCAACATGGTACCAGCCTTGGTGATGACTTGCTGGGGACATTTCCTGAATTAAAATGATTGCTTTTCGTTTTCAGCATCATCTATGCCACTGTTCTGCCCATCTCAATTTTAAACCAAGAACATGGCGTGCTGTTTCTGGGCCTAATTTGTATTGCTTAATGACTTGCTATCAAGGTCAGACTATTAGAAAACAAATTTTTGTTCAGATAACGCTAGATTCAGGTGATGATACCGGGATATACAACTCTCAGCTGTTTCATTACTATTGTAAGTTACATGAGATTGAGGAGATCAACAACCTATTTTATAGCTAATTGTAAACAGGGAGCGTCCCATCAACACACCTGATCAATTCACACTTCAGATGGTTCAAACTTCTGGTTTTTTTTATGATGACGAAACTTGATAATTTCAAAATCGATATCTTGACCATTATATTTTAACTCATTGACACCTACATATCTACACTGGACTTGCTCAGTCTTTAGTTTTTCACTGGTGTATCTAAATATAATATCAACATTTTTTCTATGAATTACCTCGCTCTCCATCTGGTAAGGTTTAAATGTGACTTTAGGGGTGAATGGGTTTGTTCAAACTGACCAGTGGTTTACTGTACCTTTCCATTGTTACTGTGACTTGCATGAACACATCAAACATACTCTTTCGTACTCTAAAAACAGCTGTTTGTGATTAAAATCCTTCTCTGATGTGGAAGATTCGTTTTCCACACCAAGAAAATATACATATTTCCACTGCACAAAAAAACTCACATAATTATACATTACATAGAATTTTTTTTGTACAGTTAAACAAAATAACAATATTTAAAATCATCTCACTGGCATGTTCAAACAATAATAATAATATAATACATATCAATTTTTAAATATTAAACAACAAAGATTTTTGAAACTTCACATTTAAAACTATAACAAAGACAATGTTGAGAAAAGATTTTCCCATTCCGCCACATTGTGAATTTGCCGGCCAGCCAGCACTTTTCCACGATTTGTTGGGAACACACACAGCACTATATTATCACATCTTTCCGTTGCTGAATTCATTGTTTACAATGCAGTCAGACAGTTGACCGAACAACAAGTTGTGAATTATTTATCTAGTGATATTTCCCCGAACATTTTTCTGAAACTTTTGAAATTGTTGTAACAGAAATATCTCTAACATTGCACACATACCCTTACATCAACTATCTGTACTCCGCCTTTCTACATCATAAGATAACAGAATAGACCTTTCCCTAGTGTTTATATTGATTCCAAGAGAACCTGTCGTGAGAGGTGACATTCAGAATGTAATCTCTCAAGACAGGTTCTTTCAGCACAAATTCATTTGATACCAATGCTGTCTGTTAAAAAAAAAAAAGTACGGATAAATAATTCATTGTCTGTCAACTTTTTGCTTTTCAAATGCACATCATTTTGTCTTTTCAGAAGTGTAGTAGCACTTTATGTCTCGAATCCAGTCGACAGTCATCAAATTCAATGACACTCTGTTAATTGGCTGTGCTTTGTCCGACACCTCCATCAAACCAATTATTGTCACACAGAACGACGGAGTACATTTTGTTTTCAGCTCTGCCACAGATACGTTTGGTTTGACTGAGACACTGTGGTTATGACTCCAGACTGTCTCGTTTACTGCCCTTCGCAGGCGGCAGACCGGTCATGAGGGAGTGAAGTTCGTTACATTCTCCATCCATATCACTGTTATGGTCATCACTGTCTATTTCTATATCCGCCCTTACACATTGCACGTTCGGCGACACCTTTGTCGTGCTCAGAGAGTGAATTGGATTTAATGCTGTGCTCTCGGTACTCATTTCATCCTTGATACAGAACGAATCACTACCGTGGTACTGTAGTGATGGATGACTGATCAGGACTATGTTCATGCCCTCGGCTCCTACATGATCTTCCGGAGAAGACGGCAGATGTTCTGTATCATCAGCGATTGCCGATGCTATTGCTCCACTGTCCACCTCTGCGTGAACACTCTCCTGGCTGCTGTTCAACTGTAAACACGTCAAAGTTCACAGTTGAATCATTGCATAACATAATGTGTGTATTGTTATAAAATATTGTACAGGTATCTGAGTGCATCTGGTTTATCCAGTACAAACATACATTGTATAATGCAAATCATAACAGAGGACAGGAAACAATCAACTAAAATAATATTTATGCACTTAATCAAATAATGTCATAGCAGACATGTTTAGTTTACAGTCAACTATATAAAACAAATACAATTTTTAAAGCTATAAAGGAAATGCTGTATGGGAAAACATGGCTTTATCAGCAGTACTATAAACAGGGGGTTGCTGCAGGATGTGTAATTTATTCTTTACACAAACAAACCATTAGGGTCCAATGTGAGTTGTATCCTACATTTTAATCTCTATGTAAAGGACACGGAAAACATCTATAAAACGTACTTTATTAGACCCAAGATATTAACGAGAGTGCAGACAATATTTACATAATCAAAATTAACACTTCAGTCATGATAAACAATCTGAAGATACAATCTACACCCTCACACTGATGTTACTAAGCAAACCTTAAGGCCATCATGTGAATTTGACTATTTTCACCAATTATTGGCCCTAAAGTCAGGTTAATGTGTTACATCATATTCTACATTGTGAGACAGCTATAAATCAGGTGATCACTATGATCATGAGATCAATAATGGATATTTGGATGGTTCCCACAATTGCAAGATTTAACTTCTAAATGTTGGCAAAATATCATTCTTCATACGTACATGAACCTGCATTCCATATTCACGCAGTATATCAAGTTTACACATCGGACAGCTCCGCTGTTCTAGCAGCCAGGGGTCGACACATGACTTGTGGAATATATGCCTGCAAAAGAAAACTGAATGCAAATACTTTAAATAAAACAAAGGCCTGATACTAAGGCCCACCATAATGTTTTCAATGACACCCCACACCATAAATCTAGAAACAACATCATTATCAAATACTTTTCTACAATAGAAAAACTCTTGTCTGTGTATCAAAGTATCTGTGCAAGAAATGATGAGAATTCCTTGTTTAAACCCTCTGTCTACATTATGCAGGATTGATAGATTCTATTTCTCATCCAGCCTAGCCAGAATTTCTGTATTCAAACAGTGTGTTTCATATAGGGTAAAGTAAAGCTACACAAATATATTTAAAAGGAATTGGACTTTTTAAAACAATAATATGTTCTTCCTTTCCTTTCGATCTTGAAGTAACTTCATTCTGAACTGCACATATACTGGTGACATATTCTTTGTCCTTTGATCTTGAAGTAACCCTTTTCTAACCTACACAAATATTGGTGACATATTCTTTGTCCATTGATCTTGAAGTAACCCTTTTCAAACCTACACATATACTGGTGACAGATCCATTGTCTTTTGATCTTGAGGTAACCCTTTTCAAACCTACTCATAAACTGGTGACAGATCCATTGTCTTTTGATCTTGAACTTTGAAGTAACCCTTTTCAAACCTACTCATAAACTGGTGACAGATCCATTGTCCTTTGATCTTCCGGTAACCCTTTTCTAACCTACACATATACTGGTGACATATCTTTGTCATTTGATCTTGAAGTAACCCTTTTCTTACCTACACATATACCAGTGACAGATATTTGTCTTTTGATCTTGAGGTAACCCTTTTCTAACCTATACAAATACTGGTGACAGATCTTTGTCTTTTGATCAAGAAGTAACCCTATTCTAACCTACACATATAGTAGTGACAGATCTTTGTCTTTTGATCAAGAAGTAACCCTTTTCTAACCTACACATAAACTGGTGACAGATCCATTGTCCTTTGATCTTGCAGTAACCCTTTTCAAACCTACTCATAAACTGGTGACAGATCTTTGTCCTCTGATCTTGAAGTAACCCTTTTCAAACCTACTCATAAAACTGGTGACAGATCCATTGTCCTTTGATTTTCAGGTAACCCTTTTCTAACCTATACAAATACTGGTGACAGATCTTTGTCTTTTGATCAAGAAGTAACCCTATTCTAACCTACACATATAGTAGTGACAGATCTTTGTCTTTTGATCTTGAGGTTACCCTTTTCTAACCTATACAAATACTGGTGACAGATCTTTGTCCTTTGATCTTGAAGTAACCCTTTTCAAACCTACTCATAAACTAGTGACAGATCTTTGTCCTTTGATCTTGAGGTAACCCTTTTCTAACCTACACATATACTGGTGACAGATCTTTATCTTTTGATCTAGAAGTAACCCTTTTCAAACCTACTCATAAACTGGTGACAGATCCATTGTCCTTTGATCTTCAGGTAACCCTTTTCTAACCTACACATATACTGGTGACAGATCTTTATCTTTTGATCAAGAAGTAATCCTTTTCTATCCTATACAAATTCTAGTGACAGATATTTGTCTTTTGATCTTAAAGTATCCATTTTCTAACCTACACAATTACTGGTGACATGTGTTTTGTCATTTGATATTGAGGTAACCCTTTTTTCAGCCTATACACATACTGGTGGCAGATTCTTCCAGTTATTACATTTTGTAACATTTAATCAAATGCAGACAAAAGTGTAAACAGTACTTCAGTTTCTCAACTTGCTTAACGAAATTAGACCTCAGGAAATTACAGTTTACAAGTTGTCCTGATAAGACTCAGACTACAGTTGTATTAGGTAAGCTGTTAGGATGCTAGATTGATATTACATGAGGCACCAGTAGGCGAGCTATAACAGTTTTCAATGATCCACTGACGTCATTCACAGCTAAATAAAGACCTGAATCAATAACTTTACCCTGAGGATATATGTACACTTAATATTATTATGTGGACTAAATGTGGATACTTTCATTTCCTTTCTTTTCCTTAAAACTCATTTTAGTACATATATATGGTTTACATCAGTAATATATATAGGGGCAAATTGACAAAAGAGATTTTACTTTTGCATTAAAATTTACTACTGTGTATTTAGCAACAATTTTGCCAATTTTGATATTCATATATATTATAATACACTGTGGAAGTGAAATGATCCCTACAGATGAAGAAATTATAGAAAAGAAAAAAAACTAGATTTTGTTGTTGTTATATATTTCTTTAAGTTATAACTAAATTAAGTCTAAACTGCATTCACTCAATGACCATTGTTTCCTTAAACTGGAGTTATCATCTCACCATAGATCATGACTAGCTATGATCAACAATTCACAGAAAGATGTATATCAGGTACTGTTAATTATATAAGGAATGGTTTTCTATTTTTGTTGGGTTATGAAGTAATAACTCCATTTGAACAGGAGTGAATCCATCATCATCATGATCATAGACAACTTTGCCGTCTGCCATTCTTTACTTTTTATATACATTGTATAAAGATTGTCTATACATACATATATGGCATAAAGATGATTATATGACATATGATATTATCACCTTATCCTCAGACACCCACAGACATTCACCACAAGCAACATGTTTTTTTCATGTAATTCTATTCCCTTTTATTGATCATGTAGTTCACTGACACCAGACGGACCCTTCCTACTAGGGAGGGATTAACAGCAGAAAAGCCATAAATATATGTAGCGGAGACAAACTGTTTGCCAAAGAAGTGAGTGAACCCAGGAAAAAGTCGGTTGCATAGGAAAAAGTCATTGACAACAGTAGGTGATAATATGAAGGTCGTTATGCTTGTGGGGGCAGGAAGTCCGGGAGGGGCAGTGATATAACTGGAGCAGTATATGTGCTAATGGGAGTGAGGAAAGGAGAGGCATTTTGAGGGCAAGGCAATTGGTGTTAATGTATATAGTAGTACAAATTGTTAAACGCCCATGCAATCGTATAAATATAAATACGTAAAACTAAACACCGAAGACTAAATCCTGCTAGTACTTTTGTCCATCTTGGGGTTCTTCAGGCCACTTTCAGCCAAAACACTAGCATGATTTATAGTCTTCAGTTTTTTGTTTTATTTGTATATATAGTAATAGGATAGGGAAGCTGACTTGGAGTTGGCCATCCTCCTTATCTATCTACCACGTGTACAGGACTAGATAGACATTTATCTCTTTATTTAAATCCAAAACAGGAAGTGAATAGAATCAATTTTTGTCAGCTGACATTCTGAAATGTGACATTATCTTAATGTAATGCGTGACTTGATACAACTGTCATTTTGATCCGCAGCTAAATATGTACTTCCCACACACAGATAGCAACTGACATCATCTCAAGGAAAACTAAAACAATTATTAAACAAGAGGCCCATGGGCCTTAACGGTCACCTGATATATTTATACAGAGAGTTGATTTTGTTTTTAACATGAACAGAAATATTATTCAAAGTGACAAAAAACAATAAAACCACCTTACTCAATATCTAGCATACAGATTTCAGACTAAAAAGGATTTGAAACTAGCACCTCTGATTCTTAACAAGGAAAATGAAGAAATTTTAGCACACTGACTCCTTTGAGCCCCACCCTACAGCCCTTGGGGGTAGGGCTGGCTCAAAATTTTCAAAGTATCAAACTGTCAATTCAAGGTTATAATTCCAATCAAGTTATTAACATGTAAT